AAAAAAAATTTATTAGTTCCTTCAAAAAAAAAAAAAAAAAAAAAAAAAAAAAAAAAAAAAATATATATATATATATATATATATATATATAAAGTTAAATAGTGTAATTTATGATGGAGTAGTAAATTATAAGCATATGCATTATCATATATGAAAAAGCCATCGACATATCCACAAGCTAATTAACTAATGGTCATTATATTAATGCTAGTGTGATTTTAGTGGTTGCAAATTAAATAAGTAATTACACACATTTTGTACCATGTACATACCTATGAACAATATTAGAAATGAAATTTGAAGATATTATTGTAAATTTTATTCTTACATCTTTATGGATATTTAAGACCGTGATCACTATAGTAACTTTGTATGTTTATAAAATTTGGTCTATATAGTTTTCGAATCGTGTTCAAAGTCTTCAAATGAAATAAGTTTTTTTTTGTTCGTCCCTGGAGTATCCACCGCCAACAGCAGTGACTAATCTCCTCGCTATGTTGGAGGCGCCAAATGAAATAAGTTTGGTTATGTAAAGTCTTCAATATTTAGTTTAAAATCTTATCATATAAGTTTATAAATAACTATATTATTTGATAAGTACTAAATCATACACTCACAATGAATTATTGATTCATTTTTATTTCTCTATTAGGCTAGCCTACAAGCGTGAGTCAGCCAAAATGACCGACTTTATTTAAGCCACCATTATAAAAACTCAACCCAATCTTATTTATCCAATTGACATCTCTATTTGTAACAAGTGTAAAAATTTCAATATGAAAATCTTTGATAATAATAGTAATAAATTAATAATGATATTAAAGACCAACCTCTTTATTTCATTTTATTTTTTGTTTTTTTTTAATGCAACATTTTGCACATATGCATTGACAATAAAGTGAATGAGAAATTGAAAAAATGATATTGATTTTTTGTGTGTACAATAACTACAATAAGAATCAAACATGAGTACTTATGCATTTATCTTAACTCCTTTTCATTACTAAGCCAACTCTAATAGTAAATAATGAATCATATTTTGAAATATAATAATATTTTAGTGTGCTTAACTTTTTATTTATTAAAAGGGAAGAGAAATTTAATGCTCATTCAAGAAATCTATTTATTTGTCAGATTAATGTTTAATTTTTTTTTATTCATACTTATGCTCCAGCTAACTATTTTACACATTTAAAAAAAACTGGATAATAAATTAATACATTCAAGATAAAATAATTATGTTAGTACTATTTATTAGTAATGTATTGAATGAGAGCTTGTAACACCACGAAATTGATGAATTAATATACAATTTTTCAAAGAGAGAGATTTATGTAAAATGAATAAATAGGCATTGGAATATGTATTGTGAATTAGTAAAATGACGAGGTGTAATAGAAAAAAAGCTTATATATATATATATATATATCAAAAAGTCGTCAAATTTATTGATATCCTTTATTAATGTACAAAAACCTTAAACAAATCTTATATAGTAAAAACGAGAGTAAAGGATAACAATAGGGCAAAAACAAGCTAAGTTAATTTTTGGAGACATAAATCTGACTATATAATTATTAAATCTGAGTTTGATTTGTTAACTTAAGATTTGACAAAAAAAACATTTTTATGTGGTATTTTTTTTTTCTTCAAGTTTTTTAGGTATAAATAAGTCAACTGGGCAAAGTATTACAAATATTATTATATTATTTGTTTTTAAATAAATAAGTATAATTTTTTATTATCAGATCAATTATTGTAGAAAATTTAACACATCTGATAGACCAACATATAATATAATATTATATTATAATTTACATTATATATATTAATTCTTAATTATCATAAATACAAAGTAAAGTATATATATATATATATATATATATATATATATATTATTTTCTTTTGAGGAATTTGAGTTGGTCATTAATAATTTGTGACCAATTCAATAGGTTTATCGGTTCAACAATTAATTTTTAATTTTTTATATTTAAAGAATATTATGACATTTGAAATATATTTGAAGAATTTGAGTCAGTCATTAATAATTTGTGACCAATTCAATGGATTTATTGGTTCAACACTTAATTTTTTTCACATATCGAAAGAATGTTCAACATTTAATATTTATATCCTCAATTTGAAAGTACATAAAATTACGAAATAATGCTATCAGACCATTAAAGTTAGAAAATGATGTCATTCTCATTTAAATCTTCGAAGTTATGGCAAACGTGATTAAGATTCTTATATTTTATATTGGTCCTTAAATTTTAATAAAATATGGATTTAGTGTTTTTAATTCCAAAAATCACAATGAATTCTTTAAGTGATTAAATTAAATTAACATATTTTTCATAGTTTGAAGATATTTCGTTTTTTTAATATTCATTAAATAGTCATAGTTTTGTGTTTGAAAAAATATCTTTATGGATTAAGGAGAGTGGGTATTTATAAAATATTTTTAGTCTCGATTTTAAATGTTGTAAAAATTTTGAACATATAAGAACAAGTTCACTAGTCGAGGTTAAGGAATAAGAGTGACTTAAGGTCACTATTCTATCACAAATGTTGCAACTATAAGTTCGTTAATATTGTTAGGATTATCATATCTTATGTATTGTCACTTTGACACTTGTTAAATCGTCACATTTTTGTCATTGAAAAGACATTTTAGTGGGTTAAGGAGATTTTTTTTTTTTTATAAACTATCTTTAATCTCAATTCTTAAGTAATGTGTGACTTTTAGATATACCGGTAAAAGTCTCCTAATTGAGGTTAAGGGCAAGAATTATTTCTACCTTCTTTTTAGCATCATTAATATCATCATATTTAAAATATTGTTTATTTTGACAATAGTTAGACCATCATGATTTAATCGTTGAAAAGACCTCTTAGTAAATTAAAAAAAAATGATTATAAATTATTCTTAACACCAATTTTTAAGCGATATAAGACTTTTAAATAAATAAAAACAAAACATAATATCGATAAGATCTTAAGTTCAAACTTTAGTATTATTATAATGTTAATGAATAAAAAAATTAAATCAACATACTTTTCAAAGTTTGAGGTCAAATTCATTATTATAAAATAATATGGATTAAAAACATTTTATTCTTTTAAAAATCCAGCAAATGATTTGTTGGTACATACATAGTGTATTAAACTAAATACAAGAGCGGAGAAAGAAACAAAGTTTATTCCAATTGAAGAGAAGAACGATCAAGCAAACAAGGCGAAAGCGATATGCACGACACATGGTGGAAAAAAAAAAAAAGCATGGCACCACTAATGTCAATTCCAACACCAATATTCAATAGAAGCGTGATAACAACAATAAACAGAAACAAAAAATAGAGGAAAAAGGAAGAAGAATAGTTTAGTTAAAGTTTTATCCGTTGGAGGCGCTCCACGTGTCCCTGGGAAGGGTGATTGGCTCCGAGAGTGGCAGGTGGGGCCCGAGAAGACGAAAAGCACGTGCGCTCACACACTTACACGTACGCAGTGTGTATGAAGAAAGAGCGCGACCGGTTCTCCAGGTTACTGTGCGGCACACGCTATCTCTCTCGGCCTCACAAACAAGAAGAGCATGTTTATCCTCTCCACCGCGCCATCCACTTCCACGCTTCTTCCTCTTCTCTCTTCCATCCCTTCCTCCCTCTCTCTGCGATCCTCCGCCGCCGCCGCTTCCTGCTCCTCCGTCGCTCCCAAGGACAACCGCCTCTTCTCCGCTCACCATTCCCCTCCTGCCATGTCCGCCTCCGTCTCCTCCCGTACTTTCCTCAACGCGCGCAACGAGCAAGGTTCCCTTTCCAATGCAAATAAATACCGTTTAATTCCTCGCATAATTAATATATTCTTCCTACTGTTTGCTTAGGTGATGACCAAGCGAACCATTCGGTTGTTTTATTGTTTATTTATATATATATGTTTTGTTTTGTTTTTTCGTACGCGGCTGCTATTTTCAGCCTTGGATTGTTGTAGAAATTTAAGGTTTAAGAAAGGAGAGAGTCAAAAATTGAGACAGTTTGTGATACTATTGGCAATTTTGTCATGAGGAAATGGATGTATATATGATTTGGTTGACAGGATGTGGAGTTTGAGATGCTTGTTTTGAGGTCTGACTGACATTAGGTAAGTTCTGATTTATCGAGTTGAACATTGAGAGAATGTTATGATCGGTCTGTTTTGAATATTCTGCTCCGTCTAAGAAGTAGCAAGTATTGTTTTCGGAAGTTAAGATGTTCTTGCAAGCGTTGAATTAAATCGATTTTCGTATATCATATACATTGTTTATTTTGCAGAGCTTCTTTCTGGAATCAGAAAGGAAGCAGAAGCTGGATCTCTGCCGCCGAATGTTGCTGCAGGAATGGAAGAAGTGTACCATAATTATAAAAAAGCAGTGAGTTTATATTCATTTGTCTTATGTTCATATATGCATATGCATCCTGCTCTTGCCTTGCTGATATCTAAACTTTTCCTAATATCTGTGGGAACGCATATTAGTTCACTCACTATTCAGTGAATTCAATATGAAACTGAACTCTAAAATTATTTGCTTTGTATGAAAAGATTGCTCTGCTATTGTTGCTGTCATCTATTTTTTGTTTCCTTGCTTTTCATGTGTTGACAGTTGGTTGATTATAATATTGGTGTCTGGTACTCTTTCTATTGCTGTGTTAACAATGGATTAATATATTTGTAGCATGTTGATTCCAATATCAAATCATGGTTGTTTAAAACTTGGACACGTATCCAAGTAATCAAGTTATTTGAGATGTTCCAAAATATTTATGCTTTGATGGATAAAATCTGTCTTTTTCTTACTTGTTACCCGTATCTTACGTTAGTGTGGATATAGTTTACAATTCTCAAAAAGGGTTTAGTTAGTTTGAGTTATATAGTCCTGCAGTTTAATATACTAATTCATCTTTTATCATTTTGACATTTAAAAAGTGTCAAATAACTTAGATACATTTCCTTGTGTGCAATCACATTTCAGGTTATCCAAAGTGGAGATCCCAAGGCAAATGAGACCGTATTGTCGAATATGATTGTTTTATTAGATCGCATATTTTTGGATGTGACGGTAATATTGAATTCTAGGACATACTGTGCTATTTGTTTCCACACTCTGGGAATCTTTTATTTAAGATTTTTTCATAGCTTCTTGCAGTAATGATAATTTATTTTGCTATTGTTCCATGTTATTAATTGTCATGCTCAAAACATGAGATTGATCTTTAACAGGATCCTTTTGTCTTTCAACCACACCACAAAGCAAAGAGAGAGCCTTTTGACTACTATGTCTTTGGTCAAAATTATATTCGTCCTTTAGTCGATTTCAAGTGAGTTTACAAGCTGTAGTTTCTCTTCTTTCTTCTGTTTGCCGGCAGTCAATTTAGTTTATGTATTTGTCTTTTATTGTTGATCATCTATGCATATGCTTAGTCTAATTTTAATGCATGAACATGATATCCTCTTATTGGGTATTTATATGTTTAGCAAATTTATTACTACAATAAGCTAGGTTCTATGGAGTTTGTGAAAAAAGTGTTAGCAAATTTAATGCATGCAGACAAGATTGCACTTGTTCAGCTGTAACTACCTACTTATGATTTTGTGTGTGGTTTTATGTGTAGTTAACTTGATTCTTCTGGTTGTATCCAGAGAAGGCAGAGCTCTTGGTTTTGAATAAATCCATTGTTCACTTTTCTGCATATGTTAATATACAGATTTGGAACCATGACAATTACTTCAGAAGTATTGTGCACTTTCTGAATTATAATACTGACATGTAGCAATCTGTATACCCCTTTTATAATCAACTTGTATAAAAACAATGTCAATTCTATCTGGATGCACCTTATAGATATTTTTAAAGGTGATATTTTTGTTGCAGAAATTCTTATGTTGGCAACATGCCCGTTTTCATTGAAATGGAAGAGAGACTTAAGCAGGTGCCTATTTCTAATATGTTTTCTTCATATTGATGGGTTATTTATTTGCTTGCTGCGAAGTACTGGTAGAATTTGTAAATAACTTTATCTCACCAAGTAGGGTGGAAGGTAGTAATCAAAAGTCTAATATTCCTCCTTTTTTATCTCTATCTTAACCCTAAGGTTGGTATCTATGCATGAGTTGCATAACATATTAGGAGTTTATGTTTGTTACACATGTAAAAGTCTTTTGTCTTTAAGTTGAGGACAATATACATAGTTACATCTCTACTATTCTAATATGTTACTGTGCATATTGTGACACACGAATCAAATCAATCTTAATTCTTAGATCCAGATTGTGGTAATTGACCCAAATTATGTGACTGTTTTGATTGTTTTCCATTTTTGTTTGCTCTTTGTATCAGTTTCATTACTATAGTATGAACTAGACCTATTCAAAATATCATTGTGAGATTCTTCTGGCCTTGCGGTCATATTTATATATACTGAGTTGATGCTTCTGATGCTGCTGTTGTATCTGTCTAATTTTTCCAGCAAGTACTGCTTATTACTCGTGTATCGGATATAAAACATTGGAAAGAATGTGAAACTTGATTCTGATATCTTGGTTCTCGTGTATATTTGCCCTATGTTAACATTTTCATAGATGTGGGGGACAATTTTGAAAGATCAAAAAATTACTGCAGGGACATAACATCATTTTGATGTCAAATCACCAAACTGAAGCTGATCCAGCCATCATTGCATTGCTGCTTGAAACACGACTCCCATACATTGCTGAAAACCTGGTATAGTTTGCATACTTATTGTCTGGCTATTTTAAAGCACAGGCTTTACATACTTATAAATCCTGAAGTGATTGAATTCTGCCATTTGTTCTACAGACCTATGTAGCAGGAGATAGAGTTATAACTGATCCTCTGTGCAAACCATTCAGTATTGGCAGGTTCATTTTACGCTTGTTTATCAAATACAAATTTATGCTGATATATTTCCTCCTATAAATGAAATTGACTCCTAAAACTGTTTTTGCTTACATTTTTTTTAATAGGAATCTCATTTGTGTTTACTCTAAAAAGCACATGCTTGATGATCCAGCACTTGTAGAGATGAAAAGAACGGCAAATATGCGAAGTTTGAAGGAAATGGCTGTGCTTTTAAGGTATATCTGCTAGTTTATGACTAAAGGATTGCTTTTCTTTAGGCAAACTAACCATTGGCCTTAATTTAATACCTGTTTTTCTTTTGAATAATTAGAAGCATTTCACAGGGTTTCTTAAATGCTTATTAATCAGTGCCCTTAGTGTACTTGATTCAAACTACAATGAGTCAATTTGAGTGCATTTTTTCTAGAAATCTGCAAACTGATAAATTATAATTCTTATCTTTAAAGGGAAGGTCAAGTAGCAAGTGGGTTATTTTTACTTTAAAAATAGTATCTTGTGTATGTAATGGTTATTGATTGGTCAAATGTCCATTATCTTGGCCTTTTTGTACAGGAGTGGATCACAGATAATCTGGATTGCCCCAAGTGGCGGTAGGGATCGCCCAGATCCCCGCACCGGAGAATGGGTGCCAGTAAGTTCACTCTCTTGTTAAAGTAAAATATAAAAGTGCATCATAGTTTTAGTTTAATCAATCTTGTCACATCTGAGATCTATCATCTACAGAAATAATTTGACATTGACTAGTGTATAGACAGGATAAACTTCATAACAAACACTTACAGGAAAAGAAATTAGAAGTCCTGATTTGTGGCTCAAATATCTCATCCGCTCTGCTACTCTATTTTGTTATTCAGTTGGGCTTACTGTTATTAGCTTGTGATTTACTTTGCATGAAACAAGTTCCTATACTTTATTGGGTTATCTGTATCCTCTGCTTGTTGTGCTCTATGTCAAAATCTGTACTTTTAAGTTGTTATACACTTGTGCTGGGTTGCATGTAATTTGTCCTTCATTCTATGTTGAGTATAGAGAAGTTGGATTTAAACATAAGATGATAAATGTGAAGGACTGTACCCAAGTTCCTAGGCTAGGTTGCTGCTCATACTTAGGTTATGTACTGATGAAAACTGTTGGATGGATAAAAGGGGTCACAACTCACTAGTATTGGGTTTATCACTGCCTATTATAAATCTATTGTTTTATTTTACGAATGCGGTCAGTTTACCAGTTTACATTAAAGTATTTTGAGATGTGCCAGAGTGTTGTATGTTGTAAATAAACATATTGCATTATTCCAGTTCCATAGAATATTACATTTCCAATTTTATGACGTTTTGGCATTTTAATATTCAGGCAACCTTTGATACTTCTTCGGTAGATAATATGCGAAGACTTGTTGAACATTCCGGACCACCAGGTCATGTATATCCTTTGGCAATATTGTGCCATGATATAATGCCCCCTCCAATGAAGGTATGGTCTTCGAGAGACTGTCCTTATTTTTTTATCTCGTTTTATTGAGACCATGTAATTTTGTAGGTTGAAAAAGAAATTGGGGAGAAAAGAATTATATCCTATCATGGGGCTGGCATATCAGTGGCTCCAGCGATAAGCTTTTCTGAAACCACTGCTACTTGTGAAAATCCAGAAAAGGTAAGTTGAGTATGATCACCTAGACCTAATTAAATTTATTGTCATTGACTCTACCAAGTTTCTTCTACGAAGTCACTTGTAAAGTTTTAATATTCAAACTGAGAAGATATGGCTGCTTAAGAAATAAGAATGTGATGCAACATGACCATATTTCTAAGCCACTATTAGTATATATATAATGGGATTTTGCTTTTGTTATTGTTGATGCCTGCACTCGTAAATTCCATATAATATTTTTAGGCACATAAGGAGGGGGCCATCCATGTCTGTGCCTTTTGAAATACAATATTTTGATGCCTCATAAAAATAACAGTTCCTCATGTGAAACTATGGACTTCCTATGTGCCAGGGAATTCTATAGGATGTACAGTACACGTACTAATATTTGCAGGTTACAGAGATCGAGTGTAGTTTCTTTAATGTGATGATCATTGTATCTGAAGCTAAATGACCTATGTAATAAAGCCAGTATTCTGTATCCTTAGGTTCTCTGTTTGTGTACTTGAACTTGAAAAATAAACAGTGTTTTGATACATGACATTCATTATCTGGAAGATTCTTTTACTTGTGTAATTTGATTGGTTGCAATATGGGTTTTTTCTGGAGTAGGCTAAGGAGGTATTCTCAAAAGCCCTGTACGATTCTGTGACTCGGCAATATAATGTGCTGAAATCTGCAGTACATGGCAAAAAGGGATTTGAAGCATCAACTCCTGCAGTTTCTTTGTCACAGCCTTGGAAGTAGTCGAAATCTGCATCTTCTTCATTACAACTTTGCTCTGATGCAGGTACAATTATGACTCCTGAAAATTGATATTTGCAATTGTTCTACTGTACATAACTTATCAGTTAGAATTGAAATCTTTTTCATTGTTATGGTTCAAATATTTTTTTACATTCTTACTTTGTTGATGCTTATTAAGATGGATTTCCTTGAGCTACAATTTACTATTGCTTTTAATATAATTCTTCATTTTCAGCAATTTCTTTCATGGCTGGACCAACTGCTTTGTTCCCTTTTAGAAGCAAGTTACAAGACGTGAGTCAAACAATTTCAACTGATTCACTTCTGAGGGACTGCCTATTACTACACCGAATGATTAGCTTAATGGAAGTTTGCAGTCAAATACATATTTTTGTTAAATTTTTCCTTTTGCTCTTGCTTACCCTTAGCAGCATTCAATTCATCTGCAATCTGTTTCAGAAGGTTCAAATTACGCTGCTTGCTGTACAGGTCTCTCTTACTACCGTGTCAGATTCGGTTCAGTGACTGAAAAGATGCTAAATTTTTTACCTACAGTTTTGTGATCAGGCTTCTTAGCTAGCTGAATAGATAAGATCTAATTGTTTCCATTTGTAATTTTTAAGTCAACTTTGTTCCATTATAGATAAATAGATGTTAATATTACATGTCCAGAATCAAATTATTCAGTGAACAAACTAACTGATCCAAAAGCAAATGCAATATTATTCATTTTGACAAAATAAAAGCACTACAATTAGCGTTATTTTTTTTGAGTTTATTCTTTTTTGCACCGATGATAGCTATAAGCTATGTGGAACTGAGTGTGAAACAATATAACGAATTCAACTAATCTTCCAATATTTCAGCTATTCTGATTACTGGGACTTAATCCCATCGCTATTGCCGTCAAGCCTCAAATAACCGATATAAACTATCCCTAGGGCGATGTCATAAAGAATGCATGGGCTATTAAAAAAACTAACTGTTAGGTCTTTTAGTCTTGACCCTTCACAAAACATTTCTCCACTTTTTGATAGCTGACGTGGCGTTCTTGTATGTATCGGTTGTTCACCTTTGATTCCGCCGTTTCATTGAACACAAGTCTCATATTGCCCTTAAAATGCAGCTGCGGATGCAAAATTTGCTGTTCGCTGCCAAGGTTCTTGCATCTCAAGGTGGTGTTTGTACAATAGTCAAAGTCTAATTATTTGCTTTCAGATATTTTGAAGTCTTTATAAATTCCTTTGTATGTCAAGTTTACAAAGAAGTAGAGTTATGGATTTGTATGCACGAGAGATTACTAATTTGCCTCCTCCTTATGCCCATGATAATGAGCCTTAGATTTTTTTTTTCTTCTTCTTTTGTGCCGATTAATATTTTAAGTTTTTTTTAATTTAAATGCATGATTATTTGAAAAATGGACAGTTTCAGAAATGTTGGGGGTGAATTTGTTAAATCCTAAGAGACTTATATATCACGTCTTATACTGCCTTTATTTGTGATTGGTTTGGCTCCTGTTTCAATAGATCACCATCATAACACAAGGATATGCTTGGTGCAAGCGTCTTGTAGTTGGGAATGTATGGGGGATTCTTTCGAATTTTATTAATGATTTCATGAATCCGTAGCAATTTGTCAACTATTAAATTTTATATGTTCATATATTATTGGATTATTATAATCAAGCAGGCTCAGAGAGTTTGTTATGACCTGAGTGAAATCTAAAGTGAGAAACACATTGTTTCAGTATTGTTGGTTTGTTTTCAGTAGGGGAAAACAAATATCCATATCTGTCTAAAATTTGACTAAATGTATCCCTCTTTCATATATTTTTTTTTGTTTTAAATAAATATGATAACCCTTCAATCACCAGGCGAGGGGGCACTCCTGTCACAAGATTTGGTTAAGCTGTTGGGTTTATTTTGTTATTAAAATTTGTGACTAAAAGTTAAAATGATATTAAATTTTGTGACTATCCTTAAAATGGGATAACTTCTTTTTCTTTAAAACTTTATTTTTAAAACAAATAAAAAAAAAAGGTTTAAAATAGAGGTGGAAAGTCAGGCAATTGCGATTCTGTTTCTTTTTTGCCTCCTCCTTCCCTCATGTTTGCTTCAGCTTTTCATTTGCGTGTCCCTTTAAATTTTGTGTTTCAAAGTTTGTATAACAGTAATTTTAGTACGTGTGGCATATGGTAACACTGTCAGAGCTGAATGCAAAAGTAAAATATTTACTGCAGGATTCTCAATCAGTGAATCTGCCCAATACCTTCCACCTGCTTTGCTTCTGTTTGTTATGCGGAACACGAGAATAAAAGGGTCAATTGGCAAGGCACCGGCCCATTCATCATTTTTTTTTTAATTAATTTTTTTAAGTCATTTTAGTTTCACTAATTTTATCTTGTAGTTCCTAAAATTTAAAATAAAATTTCTTATTCGCTATATTTATTTTTTTTATAATTATTTTTAATCACAATAATTTAAAATAGATTTTTAGTTTTTATATTTATAGTTTTATTTTTATCTTTCAATCTCAGTAGTTAATTTTTTTAATATTATCCTTTTTATGTTAACATAATAAATATATTAATTCAATTTTGTATGTTTTATATCAAATTTATTTCACTAAAATTATTTTAAATTAGGTCTCACGATACTTTATGACTCTTCTATATCTTAACTTACGACACTCGTTATTAACACATATTTTTTATCTTCACAAAGTTGAAGGTCCAACTCAAAATAGATAATGTTATAAAAAAATTAACAATGGAGGCTAAAAAGACTAAAAAATTATAAGTATAAGAACTAAAAATATTTATTTTAAATTATAAAAATTAAAAAATACAAATATAAGAATTAAAATATTATTTTAAATTATAAAAGATAAATGATAAAATAAATAAAATTATAAAGACAAAAAAAATATTTAACAAACGTATAAAATTAATCAAGGAAGAACAACGAAAATCACGTTTTACAAACGTATATTAATTTTTTATTGTTTACTTTTAAAAATTGTGTGATATGTTCATGAAAATAATAATAATAAAAAAGTGACGACATATGTTAAAATTAAGATACATAAGTATAAAATTATTCACTATATAACCGAATACTTTTTAGTTAAATGTCTTTATAATTAATCTTATTTTTAGTCTTAGTGACAATCTATCGCCATAATAAATTTTCCGTACGGTTATATACAATCAAAAGTTTTCTTTGGTGATCTAAGACAAATCAAAATTTTAAGTTTTACATCTGCGTAAAGATTCAAATTTAAAACTCAGTTTTTTTAGTATAACGACTAGAATTTAAAATAGGAATAAAGATAGGGGGACCAAGTAAATAATTTCACCTACTTTGTTTTAATTAAAGACAAATTCAAAGGCAAAGTAAAATAAATACTGTTTTATTCACATTTCAAGTTGAATAACCAGTAGGATCCTGTTTTAAAAAAAGAACATAATTGCGACTCATGTCTGGTCCCCATTGAATTGTTGGTGATAACGTTACGACACTGGTGAAGTGTAATGAAGCTTAGGGAGATGCGATTTGAATAACACTAAAACGAGTTGTTTGAGGATGCATGCATGAGCACGAGGCTCTCGAATAATGTCACATTCTCATGCAGACCTAAAATTACTACTTTATTACTTACGATGACCAACGAGCCTCACCAAATCTTACCGAGGACTGTGCATGCATCTAACTAAACCATGAGATAGAACAAGATTCTATTAATAAATCTACTCCATATACACTTGGACACGTACATATATAATTATACCTGCAAATTAAATAGTGTATGCTTGAGAATTACTGAATCAATTACCATCTTTCTCGAATACTTTTGTCATATGCCATAGACAATAATTTAGCCATGCATATGAATAATTGTGTCACTTGTAAGTATTTCATGTATTATCAGTTTTTTTTATTTATTTACTTGTATATTATTTTTTTAAGAGTGTGCGATCGAGTAATGTATCTTGGTCAGTAATTTAGAAGTATAAAGATTATTGAAATAAGTTTAGTTTACATCTTAGAATAAAATCTTTTTTCCATATGTAGAAGCAATTCTTTATGTGTAAATTAATTAAAAGAGGCCAACCCCAAAAGAAATTGATTTCATTGTATTATATACACGCACTCTAATTATTTCTGACCTCGTTTATATAAACCACTGTATATTTACTCTAATTGTATTATATATACTACATTTAAGTAACTCAAATACCTATTCGTTGTGCTGAACTAATTTGTTGGTAATATATTCACTATATAAAAAAAAAATTTGTCATATAATTGAAAAGGAGAATTTTTGTTTATTTCGTTGGCGAGACCTAAAACCATTATTTATACGCCTCTGTTTAAAAAAAAAAAAAAAACTATTTGCCTCTAAACTTTGTCATTACTATAACTTGTCAATTATGGTACAGTCCAAATTGTCGAATGCTTTTCGGAAAAAAGTAAAATGGTCTGCCATTAAAAGAAGTTAATTTTTGATTCAGAGTATAACCTATATGCCAGCATCAGTACTGAACCTTGTTGAAAAGAAAGAAACCTAAAAATTAAAGTACAGAATCAGCGGAAAATGTCAAAAAGGGAAGGAAGAACTCTTGACTACCGAAAATAGAAGTGTGAGCCAAAATTAGAGCATAAGTAATTATAGGGAATGCCTCATTAAATAAATTTCAAAGAGCTGATCTTAAATACAAATTAGAATTTCACTTTCTTATTCATTTCTTTGGGAGTGAGGTTTTTTTTTTTTTTTTATATTTTATTTTATGTCTGTCTTTTAAATTTGTATATTTTTCTTACTTTGATTGAGACATCGTCATCTTGTCTCTAAAATTATATTTAAAAGAATTATGTATTTTTTATTGCAATTGATTTAGTTTGATTTTGAAAAATTAATTATCAAGAATGTTTAAAATTTAATTTGGATTGGTTTTGGAAAAAAAAATCGTTCAATCTAATGATAAAAACACTTGCCGTTTGATTTTCGGGATTGAGAATAATGTCAAATTTAAATCAATCTAATTTGATCTTTTGTAATTTGATGAATTGGAATAGTTTTTCTCCTTTTTTTACTTTTGATTTTTTAGTTAACTAATAAAACATATTTCATTAATTATAGAGAGGAGATACTCTGTCGATACAAAATGTTAATAGAAGTTGCCCTATATATTATAGAATAATAGTACATTTTAGACTATTTTAGCTTACATCAATATTATAGAATATTGTTTCAAAATGCTATTTGAGGTTTTTTTTGGAATACTTTATTGTCATAACACATAATAAGTTTTGGGTTACGGTTGATGGTACGTAAAATAGAAAATATAAATTAAAAAAAATGATGAGAAAAAAAAAACTAATGTGCCAACTAAGTTTTGCCGACATGATCATAGTATTGCAAAGAGATAACAGATGATGCTTCTTTAACTTAATTTTTTTTTTTAACTTGAAAAGAGATAAATATTAGGTCTAATTACATATTTTCCCAACTAAGTTTTACAAGTTTACAATTTTTTCACCTAACTTTTGAATTTATATATTTTACATTTAGTTTATTCATTCTATTAATTAACAAATTGACTATGTTAATTTATCGTTGATAAAACATATGAATTTATATATTTTACATTTAGTTTAGTCATTTTATTAAT